CAGTGAGTGAAATAAGTATTTGATCCCCAAGCAAATCATGACTTGGTACTTGGTGCAAAAACCCTTGTTGGCAAGCACAGAGGTCAGACGTTTCTTGTAGTTGGTCAGCAGGTTTGCACACATCTCGGGAGGGATTTTGATCCACTCCTCTTTACAGATCCTCTCTAAATCCTTAAGGTTTCTTGGCTGTCGTTTGGCAACTCAAAGTTTCAGCTCCCTCCACAGATTTTCTACAGGATTGAGGTCTGGAGACTGGCTAGGCCACTCCATGACCTTAATGTGCTTCTTCTTGAGCCACTCATTTGTTGCCTTGGTGGTCATTGTCATGCTGGAAGACCCGTCCATGACCCATCTTCAGTGTTCTGGCTGAGGGAAGGAGGTTCTCGTCCAAGATTTTATAGTACATGGCCCCGTCCATTTGCCCCTCAATGCGCTGAAGCCGTCCTGTACCCTTAGCAGAAAAACAGCCCCAAAGCATAATGTTTCCAGCTCCGTGCTCGACTGTAGGGATGGTGTTCTCGGGGTCATAGTCAGCATTTCTCTCCCTCCAAACACGGCGAGTCGAGTTAATGCCAAAGAGCTCAATTTTGGTCTCGTCTGACCACAACACTTTCTCCCGAGTCTTCTCTGAATCATTTAGATGTACAGGCCTGTTTAAAGTTTGAGCTGGGGGAGCTTGCGGGTGCTGCAGGATTTCAGTCCATTGCAGCGTAGTGTGTTACCAATGTTTTGCTTGGTGACTGTGGTCCCAACTGCCTTAAGATCATTAACAAGCTCCTCCCGTGTAGTTCGAGGCTGATCCCTCGCCTTTCTCATGATCATCCTTACCCCATGAGGCAAGATCTTGCACGGAGCTCCAGACCGAGGCCGATTGATGGTTGTTTTGTATTTCTTCCATTTCCGAATAATCGCACCAACAGTTGTCTCCACCTCACCAAGCTTCTTGCTGATGGTCTTGTAGCCCATTCCAGCCGTGTGCAGATCTACAATCTTGTCTCTGACATGCTTTAACAGCTCTTTGGTCTTGCCCATGGTGGAGGGAGAGGTTGGAATCGAAGATACAGATTGTGTGGACAGGTGTCTTAAACACCTAACGAGCTTCCACATGGGCACATAACCAATCTGTAGGGGATCAAATACTTATTTCACTCACTATAATGCAAATCGATTTCTAACCTTTATATAATGTGTTTTTTCTGGATGTTTTGGTTGATATTCTGTCTCGATATGTTCAAATAAACTTACATAAAAATGAGACCCTTCATTTCTTTGTAAGTGGACAAACTTACAAAATCAGCAGGGGATCAAATAAATGTTTTCCCCACTGTACAAGATTGTAAAATTTAATAAGCAGCTTTAATTTTTTCAATCCCATGAAGCATTGCAAATGCTTTTTCCTTTTGCAATATAGAAATGGCATTTATCACGATTTATAAAAATACACACTGCCGTTCAAAAGTTTGGGATCGGTAAGATTTTTAATGTTTTTTTTTTTAAAGAAGTTTCTTGTGCTCGTCAAGTCTGCATTTATTTGATAAAAATGTCTTGCTGATGGTCTTGTAGCCCATTCCAGCCGTGTGCAGATCTACAATCTTGTCTCTGACATGCTTTAACAGCTCTTTGGTCTTGCCCATGGTGGAGGGAGAGGTTGGAATCGAAGATACAGATTGTGTGGACAGGTGTCTTAAACACCTAACGAGCTTCCACATGGGCACATAACCAATCTGTAGGGGATCAAATACTTATTTCACTCACTATAATGCAAATCGATTTCTAACCTTTATATAATGTGTTTTTTCTGGATGTTTTGGTTGATATTCTGTCTCTATGTTCAAATAAACTTACATAAAAATGAGACCCTTCATTTCTTTGTAAGTGGACAAACTTACAAAATCAGCAGGGGATCAAATAAATGTTTTCCCCACTGTACAAGATTGTAAAATTTAATAAGCAGCTTTAATTTTTTCAATCCCATGAAGCATTGCAAATGCTTTTTCCTTTTGCAATATAGAAATGGCATTTATCACGATTTATAAAAATACACACTGCCGTTCAAAAGTTTGGGATCGGTAAGATTTTTAATGTTTTTTTTTAAAAGAAGTTTCTTGTGCTCGTCAAGTCTGCATTTATTTGATAAAAATGCAGGAAAATTTTAATTTGTGAGAAATTATTGCAATTTAAATTTTGCAATATACTTGTATTCCTGTGATGCACAGCTGTATTTTCAGCATCATTCCTCCAGTCTTCAGTGTCTCATGATCTTCAGAAATCAGTATAATATGCTGATTTATTATCAATGCTGGAAACAGTTGTGCTGCTTAATAATTTTTGTGACATGTGATACATTTTTTTATTACAAACCGTTCTTATACTTCTGGAAACACCTGATTTGAGCAGGTTGTTGTGTTGTTACTCGTGTCTTCACCACGGTAAATCACTGTCTGACTGCTTGTAACCGTATGAAGGGACGAGTGGATGCGTGCGATCCAGGCCGTGGCCAATGGGCTGCAGGCGCGGGAAGCGGACGAACCAATGGAGATCAAGTACAGCTCTCCCGGTGACGTCTGCGGTCTGGAGGACATGGAGGTGTCTCTGTCCAAATCCAGCTCTAGAGTGGTGCGTCTCTCTGCAGATTACGGTTACGAGCGTAGAGATCAATCATTGGTTTGCACTAATGATGATGATGATGGTTTGTGCTCTCAGACGATGAATGACTTCGATTACCTGAAGCTGCTGGGTAAAGGCACGTTTGGGAAGGTGATTCTGGTGCGAGAGAAAGCCTCGGGGGTGTACTACGCCATGAAGATCCTGCGGAAGGAAGTCATCATCGCTAAGGTGACAGACTCTTTACTAACCAACCCGTGACTAGGAGAAACACTGTTCGAGTCAGAGAGGGAATATACACCCAGACAATTACTGAAATGAGATGGTTTCGAGATTTCAGGATTCCAGTGATTTATATTCACCCGTTTATTAAATCAGAGACAATACACTTTAACAGTACACAAAATCAGTGTACGATGTGCCAGATTTAGCCAGGGTGGTGTATTTTCATCTGTAGTCACAGGTTAAAGTAAGAAAAAAAACATAAATGGAATATTTTTAACACTAAAAATCCCAATAAATGTTCACAGTATAGAATTATAGATTTTGTTAATGGTTTGATTTAGGTTTTAGTTTTATGTTTTCAGTTTTCATGTTAATTTAAGTTTAATTTTTATTCATTTTATGTGATTTTTTTTTTATATTTCCTTTTAATATTACTATTGTATTTTTAGTTCAGTTTTATTTTAAGTTCATTTTTAGAATATTTTCCCCGTTAGTAATTGTATTGTTCCCAGCCAAATTTTTGTGCATTTCAGGTAGTTTTTCATCTAATATTTTATTTTTTTTAGTATAGTTTTAAATTATGATGATAATCATCCTGGAACCTAGTGAACTTTGTTTGAAAGCAACTTAAGTTAAGTTTTACTTTAACTTAAGTGTTTGAGTTGCGTTCTGTGAATCAGTTCAAACTGTGTTACAATGAATCATTCCAGTCTGATTCAAATGTTCATTTGTGCCATCACTCTTCACACTCAATCACATCCAGCTAACTGAGTTAGCGACGTACGAAAAACGGGCCCCAGAGCTTGGTTGATCTGTGTTTTGAACGTGTTTGTGTGTGTTTAGGATGAAGTGGCACATACGGTCACAGAGAGTCGAGTGCTGCAGAACACCAGACACCCGTTCCTGACGGTCAGTGTGTGTGTGTGTGTGTGTGTGTGTGTGTGTGTGTG